TTTATGATGTTAGTTTGGCGATTTGATCGCACGAATAAGTCCGTAGGATGTTTTTGAGGTTGTGTGTATATTTGGTTTGGAGCCCCTAGGGCTCGGGTGAGTTTTGGATAGGCCACGGCTGCATTTTTGAACTTTGAAAATAATCCGGTATGCCTTTTCTGCAGTCTTCGCATTTGCGAAGCAGGTCTCGCAAATGCGAGCCTGGCATCGCAAATGCGAGAAGGGAAGTTTTGCAGCATGTCGCAAATGCGATGTCCGGGATCACAAATGCGAAGATCCCTTTTGCCGCCTGAGGTCGCAAATGCGATGCAGCAATCGCAAAAGGGATGTCGCAAATGCGACCACTCATTCGCAAATGCGAAAACTGGGAATTTCTGAAGGGTTCGCTGTTTCGCATTTCCCACATTTGAGAGGTCGGGGTTCGCAATTGCGAACCCCTGTTCGCATTTCCCATATCAGAGACCTGCAATTTTTACACTTAAACGATCTTGAGCTTCATTTTTCATATTTTCTCAAACCCAAACACACTTAGGCGATTTTCCAAGAAAAAGTCTTCTTCCAAATAAATTGTAAGTTAGTTTTTACTCATTTCTTTCAATCATTAACATCTTTTAACATGATTTCAACCTAAAATCAAAGATTTTCATGGGGGAAATTGAGTGTTTTGGGTAGAACCTAGGTTTTTCAAAAATTGGGGATTTGGACCTCAATTTGAGGTCCGATTTCAAAATAAATTATATATTTGTGTTCGTGGAGGAATGGGTCATCGATTTTTGGTTCGAACCTCGAGTTTTGACCACGTGGGCCCGGGGGCGATTTTTGGCTTTTTGGGTAAAGCTTTGGAAAACTCATTTCATGCATTGGGATTGATTCATTTAGCACTTATTGATGTAATTAAGTAATTTGTGATTAGAAATGAGCGAATTGGCGGTGGAATCAAGGGGTAAAGCTATAATTGAGACTTGGGTTGTGTTCAAGGCATCGAGGTAAGTGTTTGGTCTAACCTTAGCTTGAGGGATTAGGAGTTGCGTCCTACTTGCTATGTGATAATTGTTGAGTACGAGGTATAGGCATGGTGACGAGTATCTATACGTTGGTGTCAAGTATGACCGTGAGTCTTATATTGTGATTTTCATGGTTTCGTTGTATTCTTCATGCTTTGGTGATGATTCCTAGTTGTTGTGAAAAGTTTGTGAAAGGAATTGAGACTTTTGAACATTTTGGAGCATTGGCTCGAGTTATATTATGAATTGTGAAAGTATATGAGATGATTGAACCCTTTGGAGCATTGGCTCAAGTGGTAAAGTGAGTTATGAAGTACAAGTGAAAGATAGAGAAAGAGTTATTGAAATGTTCCCTTGCCGGGATTGAATTATTTAATTGTTGTTCCCTTGCCGGGATTTAATTATTTACTTGTTGCTCCCTTGCCGGGATTTAATTGTTAATTCATTGTTCCCTTGCCGGGATTCCTATATGTTCTTGTTTATTTCCCTTGCCCTTGTTTGTGATTGTTGTTTGGGTGAGGAAGAGTGTTAAAGCACGAAGGGTGATACCGTGCGTTGTTTGCTATTGTGAGGAAAGAGTGTAAAGCACGAAGGGTCATGCCGTGCCGCACGATGTACCATTCCGTGCCAATTTTATTGATTATATGTGAGGAAAGAGAGTAAAAGCACGAAGGGTGATGCCGTGCACATTTTATTATTCTAATTGCTTTGGTGAGGAAGGAGAGTAAAAGCACGAAGGGTGATGCCGTGCACTTATTGCCGTTTGTTATGGTTTCTTGTTGTTATCGGTTCAAGTGCATTAATTGTCTTATTCCACTATTACTGTGATTCTTTATGTTGGCATTTTCCTTTATTGTGTTAGTTGTTATTATTGGCTCTAGATATCCTTGCGCAACAATATGCCTTGAATTTATGCTATAATTGCTACATGTTTATGTGACTTAATTGCTACTTGACATTTAACATACTAAATATTAAATTGCCTATTTGCTCCTTAAAGTCCATAATTAATTGCTACTTGTCATTATTTGTTTTCCTCGGTGAGTCATAATTATTGTGTACTTTGTTGTCTTATGAATTCGTATTAATTGTTGCATTTGTTGGAGTAATTTCATTTAGAAGAACTGTTAATATAATGAAATGGGAGCGCGTGGTACGCCTACCACGTGATATAAGGAAATGGGAGCGGGTGTCACGCCTGCCACGAGATACAGAAAATGGGATCGGGTTGCACGCCTGCAACGAGATGTGTACTAACAGTGAGATCTACCTTTGTTTCTATCTTATTCTTGTTAATGGTTGGAGTTTGATTCCCTTATAGTTCTCTTGATAGTCTGTTTTTACCTGTTATTCCCCGAAGCATGTTTCCCCCTCTCACCTTTATTTGTTTATTTTTACTTTACTCTCCGTTGTACATTATATAACTGCACAGGTTTATGTGGTAGTCTGGTCTAGCCTCGTCACTACTTCGCCGAGGTTAGGCTAGGCACTTACCAGCACATGGGGTCGGTTGTGCTGATACTACACTCTGTGCTCTTTTGCACAGATCCAAGTCCCGGACAGTAGTAGTAGCTCGGGAGCCAGCCTTCAGTCCATCGAGACTCCGAGGTAGCCTTGCACGCGTCCGCAGGTCCGGCGTCTCCTCTATCTTATATTTCATTCTGTTATCTCATGTTTTTGAGACAACAGTGTTGTATTTCTTTCAAACGCTTGTATTTAGTAATCTTAGGGGTCGTTTGGTAGGATACATTAGATAAGCTAATGCATGCATTAGCTTTGTGTATTAATAATACGTTGTTTGGTAGACATTTTGAACCTATGCATTAGTTATGCAAGCATTAGTTATGCATCCTATTTGGTATTAGCCTATGCATAACTAATGCATAGAAAACAATGGTATTAGCAATGCAATGGGTTTTAATGCATGCATTAGCTTAGTGAAAGACAAAATTGTCCTTCAAAATTTATGCTTGATTAAAATATGCTAGTTAGTATATTAATGCAAATTCAAAATAATTCAAATAGTGAGGAATAAAATCATATCCCTAGTAAATAAATAAATACTTAGCATATTTCCTTTTTTATAAATAAATATTTAATTTTATTTTACAATATAGGTAGACAAATAAAATAAGTTTTTTAAAATTTTTTCATATAAAAATATTTCTCAACATATGTTTCTTTTAAAAAGTTAGAGTGTGGACTAGTTTTGAGGGCATTTTTGTAAACAAACAATTCTTTTAGAAATTGTGCAATACTTTAATACATCAAACCAAACAATGAATAAGAAATATGTCAGCATAACTAATACCAGCATAACTAATGCAAGCATAACTAATACACCATATACAGCATTATTCTTATGCACCCTACCAAACGACCCCTTAGTAGTCCGTGGATGTTGTGACACCAGGTTCTGGTTAGAGGCATGTGTTGGTCTTCAGGATAGTTTGGTTTTATATTTTATTTAAGTCTTCCGCTTTAATTTCATATTCCGCTGTCATTTAAATATTTAACGCTTGTTGTTATGATTGATAAAAGGATTTAAAATGAAATAGGTAGGAGTTTATGATTTGTGGCTTGCCTAGCTTCTACGAGTAGGCGCCATCACGACCCCCGAGGGTGGGAAAATCCGGGTCGTGACAAAAAGAGACCAACTTTGGTCGCTAATTATCCAGAAATTAAAATTAGCGACCAAAGTTGGTCGCTAATTATCTAGAAATTCAAATTTGCGACCAATGTTGGTCGCTAAATTTAAATCAAATTTATTTATATTTTATATAATATTTAAAATAATAATATAATTGTTAAACGTTAGAACTGGATCCTAGATTAGCGACCAAAGTTGGTCTCTATCTGCTTCCCCTTTCGTAAGCGACCAACTTTGGTCGCTAACTTTGAATTATATTTATTTATATTTTATAATTTTTTTTAAATAATAATATAATTATTAAAATTTTATAAGTGGGTCCCCCTTTAGCGACCAAAGTTGGTCGTTAATTTCTGTATTTCTTTGACCAAGCAAGTCTGACCAGTCCGGTCAACATTTTGACTAAATTATCGACCAAAAAGCGACCAAGCTTGGTCGCTAATGTATTTAGAATAATTATTTAATTATTTTCTCCAATTTAGCGACCAACTTTGGTCGCTTTTCTTGACAGACCAACGTTGGTCGCAAAATTTTGATCGCTTTTTTTCAAAATTCTAGTAGTGAAGGTACATCAAAATTGTATTGTCTAAGCAGATGTCGATCCAATGTGAAATCGTTCTTCTTTTGTTTCATCCTGAATGAAGGGAACTGGAGCTTATCCATATTAACCTCCCCTCTGGCCTCCCTTGGGAGCTGTTGAAAGATTGTATATCAGGTTATGGCGCTACAGTTCAGACCACAGTTAGATAAATTGTCCGCCACTGTATTGCCTTCCCTGTAGCAGTGCTTCACCTTTGTCTCCTCAAATAGCTCTATCTTGCTTCTTATGTCTTGCACCTCGTTTTGTAAACTCCAAGGTATACTAGTTGTGTTTGTTAACCATTGGACCCAGCATCAGAGAATCACTTTCTATTTCAAGTTTCCACACAATTTGACTCTCGATAAGTGAAATGTGTCATTTAAATTCAGACAGAGGAAGTAACAATAATCATAAATTTACGTATAATCACCTTATAAGTAACGTAACTATATAAATAATTTTATAGTATTTGTGCATAAATTAAAACTTAAATTCTTCATACAAACCCACCTTTTTCCGACGACAACGTGCTTTGCCTACCCAAAATTGACCGTCCCTTTCTAATTTCAATTTCTAGCACTGCATTTTGGGCCATCAGCAGAAGTACTTTTCAAAACTCAACAAATGACAACTCGTCAAAAATAGTTGTTTAATAATATTTCAAGAAGCACGCTATGAAACTCACATGAACTATCACCGAAACCACCTGCGCCATGCACCTTTCATTCTATTTATACCCTCAAAGCCCCACATTTCCAACAACAACAACAACACACACACACACAACATGGAAAACAAATGGAGAATTTTCAGAAATCAGCAACAAATCAACAAAGCAAAGCCCTTTACTATGTTATGCAAAAAGCATTCAAAGCACCAGCAATCGCCAGGGGTTTGCTCCCTTTGTCTAAGTGAAAAGCTCTCTAAGCTTTCGAAAACTTCATGTAGCAATACTACAACAATTACTTCGTCTTGTTCTTCATCGTCATCTTTGTCTTCTTTATCTTCCTCTTCCGATGTTTCGTCGTGTTCTTCTCCGTCATATCGCAGGACGAAAACTATAGCTATCTTGAGAAGTGGTAATAAGAGTAATAATGTGCTTACAAAGAGTAGATCTCTGGTTTTTGTTACGAGAAGGGAAGAAGGAGAAATGGAAGATAACGGGAAGAAGAAGAAAAGAGGGTTTCTGTCTAGATTGCTGCATCCAAGGAAAAACAAGAAAGATGAGGGTTTGGTGCATTCAAAAACTACTAGAGAAAGGCTAACAACATGATCAGAGTCGAATTCAGAATTCAAAGTTTTATGAGTTCGAGTTTAAACTATGACAATCAATTTGATTTATTGGAAATGAAATCTATTATTTGTACTTATTTAGTGAATATTTAAACATTTATACATGATCTGATCCAAAGTATGCTGGTTTCGAATGAACTCGTATCTTGTACACTACATCCACAATATGATTCATCAGACTTAATGCAGCATATATATGAGATCACTTAGAATCTCTTATCTTCATTTTATTAAACGATCATATAATACGATCTTTTTTTCTCAGATTTTTACTTTTATTTTTTTTAATGAGATCTGTTGTATTATTATTTGATTTAGGTTATTTTAGATGGGCATAGCTAAGTAAAATGTGAAAACGTAGATGTATACAGAGAAAGAGAGGGATATAGATCAGAGACATATATATAATGGGGAAGGTCATGTATAGAAAGAATACAAAGTCAAGTAAGTATATTATGTAATGATCTTTCAATAAGGATATTGTGAATGTTGAATTTTAATGGAGTACAAGCCTTCTTTCGAAAAAAGAGAATATATCAACTTTCCAATTGTTCTACATTTTCAGTTTTGATTTCTTACCAAATTTACAGAGCTAAAGTTAAAGGCAATGCTAATCTTGCTGACGAATGAGAATCGGAAATTTAGTACACTAGTATACTGACGAATATGTTAATCTTTTGCTAGATCTGTGGAACTAATTAAATGAGAAGACCTGATGCATACGTACTACTTATTGAATGTTATATATGTTGCTTCAAATGTCACGAGAACCAAACATAGAATAAAGTTTCTAATAGGGATAGCTTTCAAATAATGATCAATCTATCTGCTCTTCATAGGCGGATCCAGGATTTTAGGTTTATGGGTTCCTACAAAAATCTGAGTTAATATACAATACTAACTGGATGAATGGACTGGGTTCAAAGCTAAATATTCCAATGTTTTAAAAGGCGGGGGCGTGAGGCGAGGCGTTTTACCTCTGACGAGTAATGAATCTTGAAAGAATTTCGAATATTATAATTTGATATTTTCTTAAAATACTCCTTTTATTTAATATGCTTTCTATTTGAAAGAGAATTTAGATAAAAACATAATTCATAATTTAAATATGATTCTCTAGCATCATTTATTTTTAAGTTTCAACAAGTTAATAAAGTGACACATAATTTACCATACAATACCATGATAACTAATTATTTGTAAATAGTTACTAGCTAATACTGTCTATTAAATTAATAAGTATTGTATCTCGTAAACGTGAAAAAAATATTTTAAAAAATAACTATAAAAAATTATGGACTATTATATATTAAAGACATAACAAAAGTTAATAAATAAATACATTTTAAATGAAAGATTTATTTAAAAGTAACTATCATAGCAGTCTTAGTGGATAACGTGCAATAATTTTTATTTTAATTATGACATAAAATACTCTCAATTTAATGATTTATAATTAAGAAAAAAGTAATTTTGAATAGTCAACGATTTATTAAGCAAATTTGAGAATTTACAAGTTTAATTACATAAAATTGCATAAAGTTCTATTAGGCGAGCCCAGTACGCTGGGCGTTGGGCGTTGGGCGTGTCCAGGGTGTAAGCCCCGATGGCCAAGACGTAAGTCTCACGGAATTAAGCCCCACACATAAGCCCAGGGGCGTTTTACGAGTGCTCTGCCCCGGGCGAATCCCAATTCTGCCTTTTAAAACAGAGAAATATTCTTATGTATTTGATGAATTTTTCAACACAAATACATGTTTTAGACAAAAGCTACTGGGTTCACGGGAACCCGTAGCTATTGAACTGAATCCGCCCCTGCTGCTCTTAAACACTAATTTCCAAGACTCTAGAATTAAAAAAAAACATTGATTTTTTTTTCAAAAATAATACTAATGATCTTATGTATAAAAAGTATAATCAGATAATTCATGGAACATGAAAGAAAAAAAAGAGCATCTATGAAATGAGCGACAGACGATCCATAAAGAAGTAAAAAAGAAAGGGATAATCCGGGAAAAAGAACATGAGAGAAAACGTCTTGTTATCTTGATTCATTGGTCACTCGTTTACCTATAAATACAATGTATAAGGGATTTAGAACACGGAGATAATTAATTTTATAAATAATGATATTGCTATTTACTTTTCTATTTTAAATGAATGCAGGTACTTGATGAAGTTGCTTGGCATCCCTAAGCTCAAATATAATTACATGGAGTAAAATGGGGTAGCTGATCGATTAGCTATAGAGAGCAAGAGAAAGTTGTTTAATACAGAGAGCAGAACAGGGTAGCTATTTCTTCCGTATATTCATATAAAACTTATTTAGCATACGTGATAAGAACTAGAACCCCTTAAGTTGTAAGGATGCAGTTTAGTTATGTATAATATATTTTCCTTTTACCAAAAAAAAAAAGAAAGAAAAAAGGATAGATCATGTTCATACACCAAATATAATTTGTATAAACTACTAGGCAGATCACTTTTGAGATCTCATGCCAGCTTTGTTGTTATGCAGTTCAACTACTAGTAGCATATAATTTTGTACGGATGGGAATAATAATGAGACAATATTCACCGTACACCAGGTGTACTTTTGCTAGGCTGTTGTCATGCTGGTGAAGTGTGGCCAAAAGCTCCCCATGAAACTTCCTTCTAAGTTACAAACAACAAGTATATTAAATAATAGGCCCTATGGGTTTGGTCGATCGATATTTATTGTTATTTTAATAGCCAGAAGATTAATTATCTTTACCTATTTCATGACTTGCTTTTGTATGCCAGCTTAGACAAAACTTTTCTTGACGTATATTATTATGGTAAGTTCTTAGCAATTTCCTGTAGATATATCAAAGTTTGAATACTGCTGCACCCCTGAACGGGAAAAAGAAGAAGATGATGATGATGTCGATCAGTGATTACGCAGCAATGAAGTTGTTTACGATTTAATTTACACTGTCATTCTATAAACCACGTGTTTTCTTTTTCAACAATTTTTGCGTACCAATGGCATGACATAAAATGTTTTTCATAAAAAGTGTATCGTCATAGAAAACTAATTATTTGTAATTAGATATATATGGCATGCAAACAAAGTTTTATATTAGAAGGTGATATGAGTGGAGATATTTGTAAAGATTAACATGAAAATTTTTAGCTCATAGCAGATGAAATATAGCGAAAAAAGGGTATTCCGGTGCACTAATTAAACTTCTGTTATGCGTTGGGTCAGCGAAAGGACCGGACCATAAAAGTTCATTGTACGCAGTCTTATTCTGTATTTTTGATAGAGATTATTTTTATGGCTCAAACCTTTAACCCCCTGATCACATGACAGCAACTTTACAGTTACGTCAAGGCATCCTCAAAAATTACTAAAGGATGCGGCCGCCCTGTTGTCGGCGTGTTATCATCATTCTACAGTAGTTCTTTTTCTTTCAGTTTACTTGTTTCCACAGAAAAGGGACCTCGCCTTGCCTACCGTGCCATTAACGAGGTAGATCAGCTTAATTGGTCGGCCACCTCCTTTTGCTTTAATTTCTCACGAAAAAATTGATCTCTTCTTCCATTTCGCATTCAAACCTATTTTTGTTCTGTTGGTTTCACAAGGGAGCCTTATTAAAATAATCTTTGACTTATGAGGTTCTCTATTGGCCCTTGTGTTGGTCATCTATCAGAATCTTTCATCTTCAACCATCCTATTGTAGTGGGACAAGACTTGAAACGTTTGCAACTTATCTAATAACTTCAATCTTGAACAGACCATGCAGATATTTTTTTACTTCGTCCAATCTATAACATTTATCTTGTTATAATTGATAAAATTCATACTTAATGTATAGAACTTTTACATTATTGATGCCTATATACGTTAAAAAGAATACGTTAGTGCCGAGGAATAGTTCTAAATTCTAATGAAAGTTCCCTGGAATTGGCAAGGCCTCCGCAATAATGCATGAAATGCCGTCAAGATTTCGGAAATATCGCAAAGTTTCAATATGTTTAATTATTGTTTGAGCAAATAAATGCTAAATCAATTAATGATGAGTTAAAGGGTGAATCTCAGTTGAACTTAATAAATTCTAGATCAAATAGAATTTTACACTTATATAACGAGTGGAATACAAGGACAAAAAATAGCGAATTTAATATGCTATGAATGACAATAAATATGATAGCAAAAACGTGAAATATCAGCAGGTAATGATAAGAAATGTAATGAAAAAGGATCTACCACCCAATTATTATATGATTGGGATGCTCCTTTTCTCGGATGGCAGCGTAGAAAAGTAAGAAGTCAAGGTGGATATGAAATCTTGAGATTTATGGATAAAGGTTGACAACATGTGTTTGAACAGATCAGTGAATAAGACAACTTTTATATATTCTTCTCTCAATCTTTACAATATTTTCTAATCCCAAAAAACAGATCCCCCTTTTGTTCCCTTTCTCTTCCTATTTATAAGGGATATTCCCCGAAAACCCTAAAAGGTAAAACATAAAGAATATCCAAAGGAATATTCTTTATGTCCACTTCTGAACCTATACCGTCGTTACTTTCTTATCTCAGTTGCCCGCTTCTGGCATCGGCCTTTATGAGAACGACCTTCAATCGTCATATCGTGCTCGACCCCGCCCTGTACCTTGCTTATCCGTTACCGTGGTAGCCAAATTTGGACCTATACAGTTAGTCCCTCCGCTTGCTGGGGTCGTAGCCCTGCACGTCCTCGATAAGCGGACCATTTACCTTCGTTTCGGGAGAATTTGGCCATTGAATCAGGCTGGGTCAATCAAGACTGAGAGAACGACGCGACTAGCGGAGTCATGATTGATGTGGTCACCAGGGGTGACGTCACAGCCACGCGCATCATGTTTACGCATCTTCCCGAGACAGCGTCTGCGCGCCTGTTGCTTTGATTTTAGCACCATTGATGATCCTTCGCTTCGATTCTCGTTCCATTTAGCCCTATAAATAGACGAGGGTTTTGTTATTTCAAAAGTTTTCACCATTCCCCTCCTTGCACGATCACTATTTTCCTCTGATCTTCTTTACTAGTTTCCGTTATTAACTTTGTCTTCACGATTCCGTTTCTCTCCTTCTTAACCATTCATCACCTCTTT